AAAGCTCTCTGTAAAACCTGAGCTGTAGAGCTTTTTGGTCTCTCGCCAAAACGGTCGAGACAAACTTCTGTCGGCCTACACTGCCTCCGCTGGTAAAACCAGATGACTCACTGTCGCATGCACCTACGGAGAAAGCGGACTTATTTGTTTCTCTTTTTGCTTGCACTTCGCGTCTGGACAGTAGCAACAGCGTACCATCTCAATTACCTCACTGCGGTACCTCTATGTCAGAGGTTCGTATCACCAACAAGGAGGTTCTTAAAACCTTGCGAAGTCTAGACGTAAACAAAGCTAATGGACCTGATGGTATACCAGCTATAGTTCTAAGGCTTGTGCACCTGAGTTGTCTCCTGTTTTGACACACTTGTTCCGCCTCTCATTCAGGACTGGGATAGTGCCCAAATCTTGGAAGCTGGCCAATGTGCAGCCTGTGCCTAAAAAGGTAGCCGTACCGACCCTGCCAACTATCGGCCAATTTCAATTACCTCCATACTCTGCAAGATTATGGAGCGTATATTGAACGCCCACGTCATGGCATACCTAGAGCAAATAGATCTCCTCAGTGATCGCCAGTACGGGTTTCGCTAAAATCGATCAACTGAGGACCTTCTAGCGTATGCCACTCACATATGGGGCGAAGCCCTCGGGAACAGTGGTGAAGCACTTGCTGTTTCCCTCGATGTTTCGAAGGCGTTTGACAGGGTTTGGCACGCTAGTCTATTGGGTAAGTTTTCAGCGTACGGCTTATCCCCTGACCTGATTGCCTGGGTGAGCGATTTTTTGAGTGAACCGTCTCTCCGGGACGTCGTCGATGGCTGCTCATCCGGTACTGTGGCGACTAACGCCGGTGTTCCTTGGGGGTCCGTTCTCTCCGCAACTCTCTTCCTGCTGGATATAAAGGATCTGCTCATTCCCGGTAGCTATGGGTATGCAGATGACAGCACAGTTGTGGAGAGATACCAACCAAGTGCCCGGGCCAGTCGGGATCAAATCCAGTCAGAAAGAGAGGCTGTAGTTGAGCGTGTGAGTCTCACACTACAGGCAGTCTCCGAATGGGGTGATGCCAATCTCGTGAGATTTAACACCTCCAAAACACAAGCGTGTCTTTTTACCGCTAAAAGGAGCCCGCTCACCTTGGCTCCTACTCTCCGGAATGTATCCTTGTCAGTGTACTGACCGCCTTCAGTTGTTAGGGATTGAATTTTCTCCGAACCTAAACTATGGGCGGTTCATTGAGTCCATAACCAAAGCAGTCGCAAGGAAACTTGGTGTGCTTGTAAGGGTGCGGCGGTACTTCAGGCTGGGGCAACTTCTTACCTTATATAAAGCGCAAGTCCGGTCGTGTATGGAGTACTGCTGTCACATATGGGCTGGTGCTGCAAAATGCCACCTGGCAGCATTGGACTCAGTGGAGAGACGTGCTAAGAGGCTCATTGGCGACCTTGATTTGGTTGAAACCAATCTTGTCAGCCTCGAGCACAGACGAAGAGTAGCCAGTCTCTCGGTATTCTATAGGATGCATTTCGGTGAGTGTGCACAGGGATTACACGCTTTAATTCCTCCCCCTCCTTTCTACCATCGGACAACCAGGCGGTCGGCGGTTCTTCATCCCTTTGTCATCCCTCATCATTCATCCCTCGATATTCCACGCATTAGAACCAAACGGTCTGCTTCGTCTTTTGTAATGCGTACAACAAAGGAGTGGAATGATTTGCCGGCGTCAATCTTTCCGTCCGAATACAATCTGGGCGTCTTCAAGGCAAGAGTGAATAGGCTTTTGTTACGATAAGACAGTGTGATTTACCATTTAAGGCTGCATCACCACTTACCACTAGGTGGGATTGTGGGCAAGAACTGGCTTATAATAAGTAAAAAAAAAAACAGCACATCCTGCATGGAGTGCTCACACCTCGGGATGGTCTGCGGAATACCGCAGATCGACTTTCGACTACGGGGGAATATATTAGTTCCCCTCGTAGTCGAAAGTCGAGTTGGACGCAAAAAGAGAACCTAAAAGATCGGCTTTCTCATCTTTTAGGTTCTTCTCATCTTCCCTTCGCAAAGATAGTAATGATGGCTTACAAAAAATTCCTTGGGCAGCCGTAGCGAGGAATCAGAAAGCACGAGTTCTCAAAGGAAGGCGAACTAGTTTCTCGAAAATTCACCCTACTGTTTGCATCCCGGGATGCTGATGCGTCAGCCCAGGCCATGTAATACTCCTGCTTTTTTGTAAGAGCGTCCAAACTAACGCTGAGATCGTCGCCGATAGGCATTACAGATGACGAGATGAAAACTTCCATCCCCTGAAGCACCACATCGGCGACAGAATCAGCGACGATTTTTTGGGATCATCCAGCGTGAAGCAAATCCGCCACTTGCATCCAATCCTAATTCGTTGACCTAGAGCTATAGTGCCACACACGGGCAGCCTCCCGATCGTAACTGCAATGAGCAAGTGATGGACACTGTACTCCGGATCAGGCAGTTATCGGAAGAGCCAAGAGGGGCATCGACCTAATGGTCGTTCGGGTGAAAGATCAGTTGTAAGTTCAACAGGGAAGGTGTAAGATCCTCCACATTTGGAATCCACGTAGGCGAAGTGACCAGTTGTCTTAGACCATATCCCAAGGCGTAGTCGTAAACAGATCTTCCCGCATGATCGATAGTTCGATAACCGAGCCATTCGGTGTGGTGGGCGTTGAAACTTGTGCGTTTACCATATGAAATTCTGTTTTATTTTCGCCAGCGAAATAATCAGTTACTGACTGTCTGACGTGGATTGTCTTAGTCGAAAAAGGTGTATCGTTTCACGGTTTTGAAACATCAAGTAAGTTCAATATATCACGTCTTAATAAATTTCACTCAAAAAAATACACTTAGGCGATGATGGGTGAGTTTTGACACACGGGGCCCCCTTTTGCGCTGGGCCCGTAGCAATTACTACTCTTGCTACGAGGTAAATCCGGCACTAACCGCATACTCGCTAACACACACGCGTTGGCGGAAGTGGCGGAGCAAGCAGCCGTGGCCAGCCGCTTGCAGATCGCGGGATGGCCGCACGGGTTTGCAGACTCACTTACAGTGCAAGCGAATACAACTGGCCGCCACCGCAAGCCGCTTCTGTGTGGGATATTTATTGTTTATCTTTAATATTTCCTGTGAAACGCATAATAAGGCTAGGGACAATTAGGCAGATATAAAACCGGCTGAATTTAAGTAGATTTTTAGTGACATTTTGAACAGTAAATTTTAACTTACCACGTGAGTGCGGAATTCCGCATTATTCGACTATGTTGTAAGATGTCCCTAGCTTTAATTTACGTTCATGGATATTATTATAATAAGTACCTATTATACGAATCGGATTAATCAAACCCCTTAATATTACTAAGTCATAGACTTAATGAATTTATCGACAACGTTTTTTTGTTTTGCTAATGGCACATCAATTGCGGTGTCTATGGAATCGAAAAAAGGCATCAACCTTGTGAAAGAAAAAAGGTGAGAATAATACAGCTCTTATCTTATTTTATAGCACGTAAAATGTCATGAGCATTAAGGAGTTCAATTGCAAGAAATTGTTGAAGTGAAAACTTCTTTCGCATCGTTGTGATTTGAAACAAATGAAACGAAAAACTATACTAAAGAGAGACAAATATATAAATCTATAGGAGAATGAGATAGAATCTATGCTAATATAAAAAACGAAAGAAATTTATTGTTTGTTTAAACACGCTAATCTCTGGAACTACCAGTCCGCAGTCTGCTGTAAAATGTTTTTGTTTTATATTTCATTTCATTTGAAGGTTTCACTTCAACCGCGTGTGAATTGATGTGTGCAGTTTTTATTTTTATTTTAGGATTCCCTCTGTGATAGTAATTACTCTGAGATATTGTAATACAACTTTCAAAATATTCATTCATATACAAAATTTCAATTGATTAAAGTGTCAAATACCCAATACCTAATAATTTTTTACTATTATTCTATTAAAAAATTTCGTTGTCTTATACTTTTTTTAAATAAGTTTTTCATTTGATTATTTGAGCATCCTAGAATCCGAATTTTTTTTTATAAATGCTGGAAAGCCTTTTCTTATTTTACGAAAATTATGAGTGGGAGCGTTGATAATGAGGCCATCCACAACTTTTTCTGCCACTAGGACGTCGCCACTTAGGAATGAGGTGAAATATTTGAAAGATTTCATGGTTAGGGGAAGGCAATTTATTAGGAAAATTTAAAGGTTAATGTTTCTTTCCGAAATGTTAGTTATGTTTTATTTTAATTACGTTAGAAATGAATAAGAAAAATTAAAAAAAAATTACATACTCTAGAAACCGGTAAACTAAAATTTTAAACGTAGCTTCTCAATTATGCCCGAACTTCACCAAAGCGGAGACATGCGGACATGTCCGAAGCGAATACGAGAAGAGATGTTTTTCAGTTAGTGTGTATCCACCGAAGCTGTGCAGAGATGTTTGCTGATTATAGTCGGGCTGAACTGCGACGAACGAACGAAACGAACTAGCGGCGCCGCTCACATTCTTCTCGTATCCGTTGCGCGCCGTCGCTAGCTTGCGAGGCACAGCTCACATCTCCGTTTTGTACCGCCGCTCAACTCAATCTCGGCGAGGCACAGCTCACATCTCCGCTTCGATCGCGCCATACAAAAATGATACATCTCCGCTCAGTGGTACCCACTGAAGCTGATAGAAGACGAGATGTGTGGATGAAGAAATTTTATTGGTTGTTTAGTCTTATCTCTTTTCCTCTCGGTTTGCCTCTGATTTAGTGGAATCTTGGTTTTACGATGACATTGTGTAACAAATCTTCACCTCAATTCCAACTGGCGACATCTGGTGAAAGGAAGGTTATTATCTCTCTAGCTCAAAAAAACGCTGTAGGGTTGAGGTAGTGGTGTAGCTATGGTGACGGTGTGATGTGTGTTGTGCAACATGTTGTCGCGACGGCTCAGTGAGAGTGGGCCGTCATGGATCAGACGGCGTAACGTGCAGCAGGGGCTGGTGATCGGCGCGTGCGCGGTGGCCGGCGCAGCGCTGCTGGCCAACGCGTACAGCGCGGCGCGCGCGCTCGCCGCCCTCGTGCTGCCGCCGCGCGCCCGCCTCCTGCGCGCGCTGCGCCGCGACGCGCACGCGCTCGCGCTGCGCCCCGAGGTGCAGGCGCTCACCGACATGGTACTGCCGCTACACGCAACACTGCTGCACACACACTTGCATGTATACTGCTAGACGCGTTAATGTCACTAAGAAAAAGACGTCATTATTTTATGTGTGCAGTTTTTCAACATGATTTGAAGTTTATTTCAAATAAATAATAATATGTAACGTTATTTCGTATTTGCCTAAAAACAGTAACTTTCAAAAATTAAAATACAACTGTATGGCATATTTATCGTACCAGCTACCCGATCAACTGGTGCCCCCACGTTGCACTGCTGTGACACAGTTCTTGTTTTGAATTGCCAGTGTAGTAGTATACATATAAGTGTTAGACTGAACACATTGAAATAATGTGTATAAGTAGCGACCCGAGTCGTGAGCACAGCATTGACATGCGAATAGTCGATTTGTAGGTCTCTTTGACGAAGTACAAGAGCGCGAGTTGGGTATGGTGAATATTCTTTCACGTGATTTGTCCGTTAATTAATCTTCGTAATACATTGGATATTCATGTGACATACACAAATGCACTGTGACTTGGTGCTCACAACTCGCGCTGCTATTTATTCACTAATTTTCTTCATTACAGCTTATCAAAACTTTACCTCTGTTGAACACATTAAAATAATATTAGTGTTAGAAGAAACGCCAAAAAACATTTTAACTATTTATGAACCCTTTTAAGGCTTCTACGTGGTAAAACCATGCTACAGCTGTATTACTTGTATAGTTGTAGCACGAATGGGTCGGCTCGACTCATACGACGTCCACGGGACAATATATTATTATAATACTCGCACCCGCTAATTTTTCATCTCCTTCATTAGTCACTAATATTTCCCTGCTGGACTTGGACCTGTAGTTGTAGGAAGGATATGCCGTAAACCACTACCCCTAGTAGACGATTCCGTCCCGAAATGGGTATTTAACATATGCCATATAAAAATAACAATAAAGACTAGGTTACTACTAATACAAAAACACCGAAATGTTCCCAATTCTGCCGGACTCATATAGTGTTAAAACGGGGAGTCCCCACAAAATAATAACTAACAAAATTAAGAAGATAAGTATCAACACACTCGGCGAATAGCGGTAGTCTTCGACTAGAGTGCTGACAATAGAATGCGAAGTCCGTTACAAATCTGCCACGTAATTTTCACGACTTTGACAGACAAGAGTTCACCAACGACGTTATTCGACGTTTTCGTCGTTGTTAGGGTTAGTAGTTTTTGTCACTCACTGATTTTTTAACTTAACAGTTTTCCTATACAAGATATAAACACAATAGTTAAACGATTGAAATGTTCATACATCATTCACGAGACAGGGAATTTCTTTTAATACAAAAGAGTGACAAACGACCTGAGCACACCCCTGAGGACTAAGATGAAATTCCACGTTTCCAGTAAAAAGTGTTTCCAATTCTCTACACTCACCATACGAAACATAGCAGAATTAAGCTGCTATTTTCCCCGGTCGAGCCGACCCATTCGCACCAAAACCATAATATCGCTGTAGTGTGGCTCTACAACGTATAAAATGGAATGGAATAGGTTAATTAGCTTTTATTGAATTATGGTTAACAATTTAATCATTATTTAAACATATATGTAACACATATTGCTTTTTAATTAGTTATAGTTAATTTAAATAAAAATTTTACTTGTCTTGTATGTTCGTTCACTTTCAATTGAAATTCAATTTCACCAGTTCTGCGAAACATAAATATTCCTTCATTCAATTGCTTTCCACAGGTGTCGTGCTTGGATGCGTTTACCGGACAACAGACGCGGCTGGTGGTAGTGGTGGACGCTCTCGACAGTTGTGAACAGGAGAAAGTCCTCGCCTTACTCAACGCCGTTCACGCACTTTGCTCCGACCCCAAAAGTCCCTTTATTCTCTTGTTAGCTATTGATCCACACATTATTAGCAAGGTATAGTAACATTTGTCACAGCTATTCTAAAGCTTTAACTACGATTACCGTCTCGTTGATCTAGTGATCATAAATGTGAATGCTGACCAAGTGGTCCTGGGTTCGAATTCCGGATAAAGCCCAAAAAATTATTATATATAATAAAATAATGATTTTTCTGTCGATAAATTCTGAAAAGCACGTAAACTTTTGGAGTTACGCCTCATCTCTCTCCGGTTGTGTCGGATTGCCGTTCTATCAGACTAAAAGATTGAGGAATTAGAGTGCATCTGTGGTTATTACGATTCTGTCCTACGCGGATGGCTAGTCTCCGCCGTGACCGAAACACGGTCTAGAGGACATCATATTTTAATTCAAATGGAAATTATTTCTATGATTTCTTTGTTTATTCATAATGCATGCTAATTGGATAGTCGATACCATTATTAAGTAATGACTTTATCTTTATTTGCATTTACTACGTGTAAATAGTGTCTCAAAATTAAGTCGGCAATTCGTTTTAAGTAAAATATTTTTTTATTGTTGAAAATATTAAAAAAAAATGATGCTCATTTGAATACAAGAACCTGACGTGATTTACTGTTATTCTCATACAGCTAGTTAAAAGTATTTCAATTATTGATATCAGCTATCTTAATAACACTCTTAGTAGTATTTGTATTAATATGATGTGTTAGTGTTAGCAATTGTTGGTAAACCTAATAGAGAAAAAAAGTTACTACCTATTAACTAGTACTACTACTTGGTCGTGTAGGTCGACCCCACTAGATGCAGTGATGATCTAGTAAGAAATGCAGAAAATCGATATAATATGCAGGTGGGTCAGGCGCAGGACCGTGCTTTTTGGCATTCCGTGATGGAGGCTTCAACAGTGGACTTGTGATGGGCTGTAATGATGGTGATTATGGTGATATATGCATATGAATTATTTAGAATTATATTAATCATTAAATACATAAGATCAGCATGAAATATAACAGTTCATGTGTGCGCAGGTTGCTTGGATGGAGGTTAGTTGTGCGCTTGTCAAGTTTGATGTACATCACGAGAATTTTAATCGATTGGTGTTGTGATATATGTTCTAGCGTATTGCATGTCTTGTCAACGTTGCTGTTAAATTTGTGATTCCAAAATAAAGATAATTTTTACGTTCTGTTTTATAAAAATAAAACGTTATGTATTAAGTTCAACTCATATAGCAAATTTGCATGATTGACGTTTTAAAATATTTACCTATATATTCAGTAAATTTACGCTGTACATTATATCAATCACGGAAATAGGAATTGCTATTAAACATTTTGTTAATGCATTTTAGTTTATTAACATAAACAAGTTTAAACAAAGTCATAAAATAAACAAGTTCAGTCAACTTCTTAAAATGCCAGAATAGCATTTTTATCCTGTCGATCTGTAGAAACTGTAAACAATATCAATAAATGTATATGAAAAAAATAATTTTATATTTATTGTTGATAGTTTTTCTACTTACTTCAAAGGCAATTTTGAACGCCTAGCTTTGCCTTCCTAACAGCAAGCCCCTTTAAAATCTGCTGCGTTAGTCATGTACCTACTTTACCTTTTGAATAACTTGCTACAGTAATCCTTATTATTCTATAATGTTTTTTTAGAATATGATTTTGCAGAGCTGTAGCTAATAATAAATACCGTATAGTATACGTAAACTCGTACGTAGAAAATATGTACTAGTGATGGACGCTAATAGCAACCAATACACTTCAATGTGACTGTGTATTATGTGTGTGTGTGTGTGTGTGTGTGTGTGTGTGTGTGTGTGTGTGTGTGTTTGTGTATGTATGTGTGCGTCTAGTAACATCCACCCATCATTACTTCTATAATAATCATTCTTAGTGTCCCATGCCAATAGCATAACAAAACATTTATCTCAGTTTGTATGTGTGTATTATTTTTGCATTTAGTGTCGATTTATGGACCATTCATCCGGTGCAGGAATTGTGTCATGGCCAATTACACGCATACACGTAACGTACACAAGGTTTATGTTTTTGAATTATACATCAGGGAGTAAATTGGGATATTCTGGGAAAATATATTAAGGACGTCGTTTAGAATATCAAAACGTTGAATGAAAGTTTATTTAAAGTACAAAGGAGAATGCCAGATCGTGCCCCACCTTGTACAAAAAAGGTTAATAATGGAAAAATAATGTTATGAACTTTGAAGTTTTTTGTGATAAATCGTTATTTTGTACAACTTACGGTAAAATATTATTTAAAAAAAATTAATTCAACGATTAATATTTACATTTCCAGTCTTTTCTAATAACATCTGCGTTTCTTTGTACGAATAAGTACATACGTACGCGTAAAGTATCAAACAATACATATTTCTATTAAAATATATTATAAGTATTTGTCATATTAAAATGTTACATATCAATTATTATTACTTACTTTACTTTACTTTACTTATCTTCACGCACAATCCCTGACGGGGTAGCCAGAGAGAACAGATCACCAAGTGTCACGATCCTTACATACCTCTTTCGCTTCTTTCAGATTCATTATCTTCTTCATACATGCACGTCTAGGTATCCGAGTACTCTTGACCCTACCCTCTTCGAGCAATTTGCTCACATGGTCTTCGAAAGTTAGTCTCGGTCTACCTCGACACCTTTTAATATTAACTTTCGCGCTATATATTTTCTTCACCATTCGGTCTTCACTCATTCGCTCAACGTGCCCAAACCACCGAAGCACGCCCTTATCAATTTTTGTGATAAGGTCATCTTTCAAACCTGCCATATTGCGAATCTCTTCGTTTCGCTTTCGGTCGGCCATGGTAACGCCGTACATTTTACGAAGAGATCGCATCTCCACTGCGTTCAACTTGCTTTTATGCTTCTTCTGGCATACCCAGGTTTCGCTGCCATATAACAAAGTCGGTACCAACACTGCGTTATGTATTGCAAGGCGTGCACTCTTCACTACGCCTTGCCTTTTGACTAACGCAGTCAGGGCACCATTGACTTTGTTCCCGGCAGCGACACGCCTGTCCACATCTAAATCACATCTTCCATCCCGGCTAAAAGCACTCCCCAAGTATACAATTTTATTTACCTGTTCTAGACATTCCTGATTTACCCATATATCACACTTCGTTCTATCTTCGTCCCTTTCAAATACCAGAACCTTAGTTTTATTAGCATTCAAACGGAGACCTTTAATTTCACATTCCTCTTTCATACACGTGACTAATGCCTGCAGTTCTGCCTCTGATGGTGCAATAAGCACTGCATCATCAGCATACAGCAGACAATTTACTTTTATGTCACCCAATTTCACACCCAAACAGCTATCTTTCAGCTTCTGTAAACAGCTGTCGAGATACAGTATGAACAGCCAGGAAGCCATGACACAACCCTGTTTTACGCCCGTTTGGACGCTAAACATGGGTGACAGGTCATGTCCTACCCGCACACAGGCTTTACAGTCACAGTAAAGAGACTGCACAGCCCTTAGCAATCGACCATCCACACCATACCCCGGCAACAGTTCCCACATTTTCTTCCTTACAACCTTATCAAATGCTTTTTCAAGATCCACAAAAGCACAGAAAATCTTCTGGTTAGCAGCCAGAAACTTTTCCGTGATCATGCGGAGAGAAAACATTTGATCCGTGCATCCTCTTCCAGGTCTAAATCCGCATTGTGCCTCCCATAGAAATCTTTCCAATTTCTCTTGCATCCTACGTGTCAAAACCTTCGAGTAAACTTTACTTGCTAAACTGGTCAAGCTGATCGCCCGATAGCACCCGCAGTCAAAATGTGAACCTTTACCTTTATATAAAGGCACAATGACTGCGGATCGCCAATCATCCGAGACATCCCCCGTCCGCCAGCACAAATTGCACAGCAGATGAAAGCTGTCTCAGACGCGAGGCCCACCATACTTGACCATTTCAGCAGTAACTCTGTCTAGTCCCGCAGCCTTACCATTACCACATTTCAAACTTCGAATCGCACGTTCAATCTCTTTCATACTGATGACCTCAGTGTCATCGAGGTCCGGGTCTGGCGTACTAGTCACGGCGTGATCCCCGGATCCCTCACTAAGATCATCACACGCATACATTTCTCTATAAAATTCGCTCCATCGCTGCATGACGTCCGATTTTTCTGAGAGGACGTCATTAGTTCTCTAAAGCACTTTGTTCATTCTTAAGGCCGTCGCACCACTTCGGGTCCTTCCAACCTCTTTCCACAAGAGTTTGGAGTTCTCCTTAAAGTTGTGCGACAACCTTTCGTCCGCTTCCATTCTACACCTTTCACGCACTTCCTCAATCAATGCTTTCGTGTGAACTTTCTGCAGCCTATATCTTTCTTTCATCTTCTCTCTCATATCCTTATCATTACTAAGGCCAAGTAGTCTAACCATGCTTTCTTCTTCTTCTTTACATTCTTTTACTACTGCCTCTTTTTATTGTTCCACACACTTCTTCCGCTGCACTTACCATTCCATCCCTAAGGTTCTGCCATGTTCTTTCTACACATTCTTTTCTGCCATCGATGGTGTCAAGCTTTTCGACTACCCTCGCATGATATTTGTCCCTAGTATCCGCTTCCTGAAGCTTCCAGCTTCGGATGCGACAGACCGACTGTGGTTCTGTTACTGCCATCCGGTAGCGCCAACCTGCGAACAGACCCCTAAATCTAGTAATCACTAGATAGTGATCCGTTCCCAGGTCAGCACCCCTGAACACTCGCGTATCCATCACCTGTTTTCGCAGTCGGTCATCCACCAGGAACAAATCGATCATACTTCTCTCATTCTTTCGTTCTCTGGTATACATATGGATTTTCTTGTGATTAAACATAGTGTTTGTCACAAGAAGACCATTTTCCTTGCATACCGCCAGTATAAGCTTGCCAGCATCATTAACCCTTTTATCGCCAAACTTTCCAAGTACCGACTCGTACCCTGGTCGAGCGGTACCAACCCATCCATTCAAATCACCAC